GCCTCCGCCTCGGTTCCGCGAGGAACCCCATCTTCGGCCAAAGAACCCCTTCCGAACGCGGATATTATTCAGAATAAAAACTTTTATTTATTTTTTTGTTTTGTTTCTCAGAGTGTGAGCAGCAAGGAATGTAGAACTCTCCAAACAAATCTAGCATTTTTCGCGTTTACAGATTGTTCTCTTCAGTTTCGCCGAATGTTACAAACTTAAATCACTGTTTTCGAAAGCTGGATCCTCTCTGGTATTATTGCATCATTACCGTTTTTTTAATAAAGAAATTACATTTCCCTTTCAAATAAAAAATTTCCTATGTATGCCAATACACCATTGAACAAAAGGCCCAAGAAACCTTCTGAACAACCAGGGTACAGAATTTCTTTAATATAAATACCAACGGATGGGGATAAATAATATTTAAAACTTAGATTATTCAATGCTTGCAAAAAAAATATAAATAAATCTGACTGTTCACCAGCATACACACACGGAAAGACGTACACTTAGTCATCCTCACACAGGGAGCCCCTGTTTCAAAGCGCCTTTGATTTTTTTTTCTCGCTCTTTACAAGAAGTGCAATAAAAAAACTAAAATTAAAAAAAAAGTAATTGCTTCCCCTCGGGAGCCATAATGTACGAACAAATTCACATTGAAGAACTCGGCTAGAAAATTTGTTCATATACCCTGTTTCTGATCAAAGAGTAGAGAAGGTAAAAAGGGTGCGGGCCAGCGGCCGAGCTGGGGCGGGAGGAGATAAATATCGCTACTGATACTGACAGCCATTCCAGCAACCAAGATTGCTACGTCACATAAACTATAAAAACGCGTTACCAAAGAAAACAAAACGGGGGGGGGGGATGGAAAGGGGCGGAAGAGAGAGAAAAGGGAGGTGCAGGGAGAGAGAACCTTAAGACAAAACAAAAAAAGCAAACGAAGAAGAAAGGTGGGGGTGGGGGGGACTCTCCTGGCGCGCAGCCCCGAGTCCACCATCACAGGTGGGTGAGCTTGGGGGCTTCCTGAATTCTTCCCTGAGAAGGATGGTGGGCGGTAAGGTCCGTGTAGGTGGGGTGCGGCTCCCCTGGCCCAGGCCCGTGATGGTGGCCGCTGCCCAGCGGCCCAGCACCCCCGTAGTCCATGGCAGCCGAAGCAGCGTGGGGGAGGTGAGTTAAGCCAAAGAGGGCCGGCCCAGAGTTGCTCATGGGCTCCACATAGCTGCCCCCCACGAAGACGGGGCTTCCCTGTAAGTGTGGGGTCCCATAGCTGCTGTTGCCCTGGAGGCCATGCCCGTGCGGGTCATAGTCGGGTGTGCCCCCTGCGCCTGCCCCTGCAGCTGTGTAGCGCTTCTGTGGGGGCGGCGGGGGCGCGCAGCTGGGCAGAGGTGCGGGGTAGGAGGCAGGGGGCAGCCCATAGGTGCCTTGGGGGGGCTTGGAGAAAGGCGGGGGCGACTGGGGCTCGTAGGGGACACTGTTGACCAGCGAATGCATAGAGTTCAGATAACCGCCAGCGCCTGGAGGCACGGGGCTGCGACTTGGGGACTGGCCCCCTGATGACGTCAGCATGCCCTTGCCCTTCTGATCCTTCTTGTACTTCATGCGGCGGTTCTGGAACCAGATCTTGATCTGGCGTTCGGTGAGATTCAGCAGGTTGGCCATCTCCACGCGGCGTGGCCGGCACAGGTAGCGGTTGAAGTGGAACTCCTTCTCCAGCTCCACCAGCTGCGCGCTGGTGTAGGCCGTGCGTGCCCGCTTGGAGGACGCCTGCCCAGGCGGACTCTTGTCGCCTGCGCAGCTCTCCCCTGCCAGGACAGAAGAGAGGAAGAGTGGTGTCAGGGGCTGTTCCCCAACCAGACCCCTCCTTGCTACAAACCCCAAAGTGCTCTCTATTTGTCAGGGCCCAGAAAGGGTGAGGAGGAAGTGCGTGCTTCCTCCATCCTAGTGGGAAACAGTGCTAGTAGGTAGCCCCTCATTCAGTCAAATTGCAAATCATAGGCGTCTCCAAGGGGGTCAAGGACAGAAAAGCAGAACCCCCAGTTTGCCTTCCTGGTCTGTATTTCCTTCCTGAGCTATTCACTTTCTGACTCCTTTCTGGGCCTGCAGGCCTTTGACTACAAGCTCCCTGTGGGCAGGTCTCACCACCTTCATTCCCTTCACACTCGCTGGAATGTAGGCCACCTAATATACACTCAATAAACCTTTCCTCCATTCACTGTCTGTCTGAGAGTGGACAGTTGCCTCAGCTGGACACGTAATTTCCCCAGTGGAGATGGGTGGAGCAGGAGCCCCAATCCGGAAGACTTTTCTGCTCAAAGGAAGAGAACCCATCAACAGTATCCATTTCTGGTGGCGAGGCCCAGGCCTCTGATGCTGTGTCCTACTAATTAAGTTTCTCACGTCATCAAGCAGCCTGCCCCAGCTTTGCCTACTAATCTTGTGTCCTCCCTGGCCCCCAAATCCGAGTGCAGGAAGGTCCCAGATTCTCAGAATAGAGCAGTGGCAACGGGAGAAGGCAGGGGCAAAGGTAACTTTGATACTGGGAAGCCCTAAGGCCTAGGGCAGCCGTGGGCAAACTACGGCCGGCGGGCCGGTTTGAAATGAATAAGACTAAAAAAAAAAAAAAAAGACCATACCCTTTTATGTAATGATGTTTACTTTGAATTTATATTAGTTCACACAAACACTCCATCCATGCTTTTGTTCCGGCCCTCCGGTCCAGTTTAAGAACCCATTGTGGCCCTCGAGTCAAAAAGTTTGCCCACCCCTGGCCTAGGGCCTATCATCCACTGGAGTCGGGTTCCAGGAAGCCCATGTGGTTCCCATTAGGATGACAAGTCTGAATCCCCTCCCAGAGGAGATCCTGGCTGCCTTCATTGTGCTAAGTCTGAGGAGGGCCTTCCCAGAGGCAAGGCAGCCACTCCATCTGCTGGAGCAAAATTTAAAAATAGGCTGATTATAAGCAAAGCATTGATTCTGAATTGGCGGGTGATTAGACCTGCTTTTACTCTGACACATTGCAGTGTGGGGTGGGTGTCACTATTGCACTAAAAATAAGGAAGTGTACGAAAAAGAAAGTGGAGCTCATGTTTGCTCTGCACAAAGGTCCTAACTCCAAGAGTAGAAGAAGTGATTCCAAACTCACTAGGCCCACTCGCTCTTGGGGGAGTCCAGAGAGACTTCCATTAGGTCTCTCTGGGGTTTCCTGTACACATACATAGTCCTGTCACCTCCCTAGTTGCAGACTCTGGAAACCTGTGTAGGATAGAGTGGAGGAGCAGTGGGTCCTTGGAAATGTTCCAGCGCTCCAAGCCGTGCTGGCTGTGCCTGGAGCTGGCTTGGGAAGCCTGGAGCCAGGCCAGAGGACCCTCCTCCAGAAGGCACCCCTTTACCTGAGCTGGAGCCGCTGGTTTTCTGCTTTGTGTTCTGCCGAGACTCCTTCATCCAGGGGAAGATCTGTTTGGCCACGGTGGGCGAGTTGAGTAGGGGGCTCTTGGCCGCACTGGCAGGGGTGGGGTTGCTGCTGGCATTCTGAGGTGGGGAGACTGAAGATGGGGCTGGGGGCGCGGCAGGAGCTGGCGCAGGGGGCTGCTGAGGTGGTTGAGGCTGCTGAGGGGCAGGGGGCGCAGCCTGGGGCGGTGGCGGGGCCAGGGGTGACTCGCCCAGGCCTGGGGGCTGGCTGGGCGGCCCGCTCAAGGTGTGCAGACATGCCTCACTCAGCTCGTGCGCCTTGGGGTGGCCCCCAGCGCTGGCGGGTGATTGGAGTGAACAGGCGGGTCGGTGGTACTCGCCCTCCGCGCCCAGAGCTGCGGACGCCGAGTATGGCTGCTGGCTGGCATTATAAGCGAACCCGTTGGCTGCCTGATAGGGGTAGCCACCGTAGAGCGCGGAGCTGTCGTAGTAGGTCGCTTTTTGCATCGCGTTGTTTCACGATCTTGATCACACACTCTGACAGGGGCTTGACTCCCGTGAGGGCGCACATTGGCACGCCCCCGCGGTCACGTGACGCTCCGCCGCCAATGGCTGCCCCGCGCAGACCTGGGGGGGTGAGAATCGCGCGGTGAGGGCTCCGCGCAAATCCATCTTACTCTCAATAGCTAAGTGACATGAAAGCCATAAAAGAAAAAGTGGTCAGCAATATTTAGCTGCACGACTTGGCCCCGGGCGCAGAAAGCCGCGCTATAAAAAGCCGCTGGAATTTACTGGCGGCTACAAATATTTGCTTAACTTGCGTCTGGAGTTGGGGGGTTTTCCGGGGAGAGAGGAGGAGAGTGAGTGAGGGCTGGGAGCCGGAGTCCAAAAGAAGAAAGGCCTGATGGGTTAGAAAGGGACGGGGTTGGGATCCTTCTTTTCCAAGGAAGAAGAAATTCAGGGTGTCCCCTCCTCTGTGCTCCGGCACCTCCTCCAGCGAGCCCCAGGTCCCACTCCCTCTGGAAATTTTGGAGAAGGGGCAAGGAGGCAAAGGGGAGTCGCCAATTTTTTTTCTCCAATTCTCGCATTACCACTTGTATTTGCCAAAAGAGCCCTGACAGGGAGTGATGTCCCATCCACCCCCATTTTGGATGTTCCAGAACCAAAGAGAGGTATGCACAAAAAATGTTCAGGTAATTGCCCTACTCGACCCTACTGAATTTCAGAAGCTGAGATTGTTAGGCAGTTATTCTCCCTTGTGCAGGGATATGGCCCACCTCCAAATATGAGCCCCTGTGGCTGAGAAGGGGAGAGAGAAAACTTTAGATGGGATATCCTGTGTGGGGAGGGACCACCACCAACACCCACTCCAGCAAATCAAACTCAAATCCTGGACAGCTTTTTACTCCTCTCCTTTTCCTATTTCTCAGGCATGTCCCAGCAAGCCACTCCCACCTCTTCTCCGCTGCTGAAAAAGGTCCCCAGACCCTCCTGCCTTGGATTTTCTGAGGTGCTGTTATTCAGGCAACTATCAAATTCTACCTGTTAAAACATGATGGATTAGAGAAAAAAACAACCCACCAGGAACCTGAAAAACCAGCGTTCATCTCCATGACCACGGCTTGAACTCTCCTTCCAACTTAACGATAATAGGTTCTGTCTTAGAAACTGCTATGTAATTTGATGTATGGGGGTCATTTGGCTCTGGACGAGGGATGGGAGCACAAGCCATAAAATCCTGCCAGAGTTCCCTGATCTTTGTGTGCTGTTGTTGTTGATATTTGTTACTTGGCCTATTTACCTGCTTCAGAAACACCAAGTGAAGGGCAACCCTGGAAATCTAAAAAGCAATGGAAAGCCTTCTCAAGTCTTTTTTTGTTTTTTGTTTTAGAAAACAGTTTGCAGAAGTGAAATCTGTTTCTCCCCCCCCCCCCCCCCAACCTTTGCATGGTCAACCTCTGGTTCTGCTCAGAAAAGTTCCATGTGAGTTCACATATTCACAGTCACACTCTGACACACTCAGAATGTTAGCATCTGACCATTTAAAGAAAATTACAATGACAAATTCATGAAGAAAATGGTTTACACTTCACACCCCCAACTCTGTGTATTTGAGTCCTGAAGTTATTCAAGTTTTCCAGGAATAGCAGACACTTTGTTAACCAGAAAAAATAATGTAATAAGCATCTACTAGTGATGATTACACTGTAATTTTGTCTTCAATAACGAACTCCTTTGAATTTCATTATTAAACCAACAATCTGACCAACATCTGGAAAACAAGCACAATTAATTTTCCAGAACCTCAATTAAAAATTACAGCATCCCTTATCCAGAGCTATTGTGCATGATCTTGAGCCCTGGAGTATTGTTTCTCTTTTGGAGATAGAAAGCCACAGATACCAAAATCAAAAGTAAATAAATGATCAAATGAAATTTAAAACTGAATAGCCCTTTAACGTCTGTTTCCTGTTCTTTCACTGAAAACAGTTCCTATTACATTTGGCAGTGTTAATGTCTGCCATCATAAATTTTTAAGATACTAGGCTTGTGTAAAATAAAACGTCAGGTTAAGAAAATTACTCCAGACACTTGAACAGCAAGATATTAGATAAAACAAAATTAAGTTGATTTTGAATGTGCACTATTTCAAGTGAATTGCTAACCCATTATCATAAGCTACACCGGCCTGCTGTTTACTAAGTCTTTTTGTCAAGTTGTAAAATAACAAAAATACCTTTTAAAATCAAAGAGCAAACAACAACCCACATAAACTTAAAATATGAATTCACCTCCCAGACCCCACTAAAGTGCTTCCTATTGTTTAAGGTCAGTAGATAACCAGCTGGGGCCCACACAGTCCACCACCCACAACCCAGCCCCCAAAGTTTACAACCTAGTAAAGAAGTTGGAGATTTGCCAGCCAGGAAACTTTGCTTTGCACCCCCAAACAAGGGCTGGGGAAGGAGCAGATTCCTCCGAGAAGATCTGTCTCAGTAGCCCCCAGGTGTGAGAGCTGAGAGTTGAAGAGGCTGAGTTGAGTGCGGGAAGCAAGCCCCATTGTCTCTCCGGAAGATCTGCCCAAATTTCAACCTCTTGCCTTCAGCCACCGCTCGCTCTTTCCACTCCCGCCCCTTCCTTAGCCTGCCGTCACCCCGAGTGTAACTGGGAACGCGGGTACGAGCCCCCAGCGCCCCTTGTCCACCCCTCCCTCCCTTCCCAACCCGGGAAAGTTGCGGCTGGGCTAGGGGAGCGGGCAGAGGTGGGGGCGGGGACGGGAACGCGGCCTGAACTCGAAGTGTAAGGGTATCAGTCACTGCCGGGAAGGAAGCTCGGGCTTGTGAACTCTTCTTGAACCGAGATCTAAGTCTGCGGCCATAAATCACCGCGACGTACACTCAGCCATTCAGCGCCGGGAGCGCCGGCGGCGGCCCCGCTTACCTTAACTTCT